ACCTCCATGCAGAATCACTGTAGACACTAGACGTACATCACCATACAGAATTACGGTAGACACTAGACATACATCTCCATACAGAATTACTGTAGACACTAGACATACATCTCCATACAGAATTACTGTTAACACTAGACTTACATCTCCATACAGAATTACTGTTAACACTAGACGTACATCTCCATACAGAGTTACTATAGACACTAGACATACATCTCCATACAGAATTACTGTTAACACTAGACGAACATCTCCATACAGAGTTACTGTAGACACTAGACATACATCTCCATACATTCATACAGTAGACACTAGACATACATCTCCATACAGTCATACAGTAGACACTAGACATACATCTCCATACAGAATTAATGTAGACACTATACTTATATCTCCATACAGAAATACTCTAGACACTAGACATACACCTCCATACAGAATTACTGTAGACACTAGACATACATCTCCATACAGAATTACTGTAGACACTATACATACATCTCCATACATTCATACAGTAGACACTAGACATACATCTCCATACAGTCATACAGTAGACACTTGACATACATCTCCATACAGTCATACAGTAGACAATAGACATACATCTCCATACAGTCATACAGTAGACACTATACATACATCTCCATACAGAATTACTGTAGACACTAGACGTACATCTCCATATAGAATTACTGTAGACACTATACATACACCTCCATGCAGAATCACTGTAGACACTAGACATACATCTCCATACAGAATTAATGTAGACACTATACTTATATCTCCATACAGAAATACTCTAGACACTAGACATACACCTCCATACAGAATTACTGTAGACACTAGACATACATCTCCATACAGAATTACTGTAGATACTATACATACATCTCCATACAGAATTACTGTAGATACTAGACATACATCTCCATACATTCATACAGTAGACACTAGACATACATCTCCATACATTCATACAGTAGACACTAGACATACATCTCCATACAGTCATACAGTAGACACTAGACGTACATCTCCATACAGTCATACAGTAGACACTATACATACATCTCCATACAGAATTACTGTTAACACTAGACGTACATCTCCATATAGAATTACTGTAGACACTAGACATACACCTCCATGCAGAATCACTGTAGACACTAGACATACATCTCTATACAGAATTAATGTAGACACTATACTTATATCTCCATACAGAAATACTCTAGACACTAGACATACACCTCCATACAGAATTACTGTAGACTCTAGACATACATCTCCATACAGAATTACTGTTAACACTAGACGTACATCTCCATATAGAATTACTGTAGACACTAGACATACACCTCCATGCAGAATCACTGTAGACACTAGACATACACCTCCATGCAGAATCACTGTAGACACTAGACATACATCTCCATACAGAATTACTGTAGACACTAGACATACATCTCCATACAGAATTAATGTAGACACTATACTGATATCTCCATACAGAAATACTCCAGACACTAGACATACACCTCCATACAGAATTACTGTAGACACTAGACATACACCTCCATGCAGAATCACTGTAGACACTAGACGTACATCTCCATACAGAATTACTGTAGACGTTAGACATACATCTCCATACAGAATTACTGTAGACACTAGACATACATCTCCATACAGAATTACTGTTAACACTAGACATACATCTCCATACAGAATTATTGTAGACACTAGACATACATCTCCATACAGAATTTCTGTAGACACTAGACATACATCTCCATACAGAATTACTGTTAACACTAGACGAACATCTCCATACAGAGTTACTGTAGACACTAGACATACATCTCCATACATTCATACAGTAGACACTATACATACATCTCCATACAGTCATACAGTAGACACTAGACATACATCTCCATACAGTCATACAGTAGACACTATACATACATCTCCATACAGAATTACTGTTAACACTAGACGTACATCTCCATATAGAATTACTGTAGACACTAGACATACACCTCCATGCAGAATCACTGTAGACACTAGACATACATCTCTATACAGAATTAATGTAGACACTATACTTATATCTCCATACAGAAATACTCTAGACACTAGACATACACCTCCATACAGAATTACTGTAGACTCTAGACATACATCTCCATACAGAATTACTGTTAACACTAGACGTACATCTCCATATAGAATTACTGTAGACACTAGACATACACCTCCATGCAGAATCACTGTAGACACTAGACATACACCTCCATGCGGAATCACTGTTGACACTAGACATACATCTCCATACAGAATTACTGTAGACACTAGACATACATCTCCATACAGAATTAATGTAGACACTATACTTATATCTCCATACAGAAATACTCCAGACACTAGACATACACCTCCATACAGAATTACTGTAGACACTAGACATACACCTCCATGCAGAATCACTGTAGACACTAGACGTACATCTCCATACAGAATTACGGTAGACACTAGACATACATCTCCATACAGAATTACTGTAGACACTAGACATACATCTCCATACAGAATTACTGTTAACACTAGACATACATCTCCATACAGAATTATTGTAGACACTAGACATACATCTCCATACAGAATTACTGTAGACACTAGACATACACCTCCATGCAGTTTTACAGTAGACACCAGACAGATATATATGTACGTATTTCCATACAGACTTACAGTAGACACCAGACAGATATATTTGTACGTATTTCCATACAGACTTACAGTAGACACCAGACAGATATATATGTACGTATTTCCATACAGACTTACAGTAGACACCAGACAGATATATCTGTACGTATTTCCATACAGACTTACAGTAGACACCAGACAGATATATCTGTACGTATTTCCATACAGACTTACAGTAGACACCAGACAAATATATCTGTACGTATTTCCATACAGACTTACAGCAGACACCAGACATATCTCGAGGCAGAGTTACAATTGATACTAGACAAACATCACCATACAGAATTACTGTAGACACTAGACATACATCTCCATACAGAATTACTCTTAACAATAGATACATGTTTCAATACAGAGGTCCAGACGACAATATGGATTAGTATCTAGATACAGAGCTAGTGGAGACACTACACGTTTTGTCTCCATCCAGGTCAGAGTAGACACTAGACAGTTATCTCCGTACAGAGTTGAAGAAGACACTAGACATATATCTCCATAAAAGTTTACTACAGACACTTGACGTATATATTGTCTGTCCGTACAAAGCTGTTGTAGACACCAGACACCTTGTTTACTTGCGGAAGTAACATAATTTTTTTATTACTCTAACATTAGCCAGTAGACATATGAAGCACCAAATTATTACAGCTGAGAAATATCCAAATTTGCAACATGTGCCAAAAACGATTTGTCGCGATTTAAATGAAACATAGAGGTTCGTGTTTCATCACAAAAAAGCATACTGTGCATGTTATCATATTACGCATTTAATCCAAAACGTCAACACTAGCTTTTAATAATGAATGGGTGAATTCTACACCGTCTAAATATAGCTAGCCAATAGAGACTTGCAGAGTAATAGTAAGAACAGGTATGTGTTCTTAATGTTGAAATTTCAATTAAACTACTTCATATCAATTTACAAAATCAACCATATTTTGTGATACTGCTTTGCATGGACACGCATATATATCAGAAGTTCCGCTTTTCATTTGATCAGGTAATATGTATCAAGTTTATTTCAGTTTCGAGACTATATGGCACTTTCTTGTAAAGCATATCTGTCTATAACTCTACAGGGGTTTTTGATAGTATTGTGTAGCAATTCAGTTTCACACGAAAAACGCAATAAAAAGAAGAAATATGAAACAACCGCGGAATTTGATATAGAAATACTCTTATTTGATAGGGAAAACGTTAATGACAAAAACCCGTACGTATAATCAATTTAGAATCAAATGTATTTTATAATTCTAAAATCTAGATCATTGTCTTTATATTACAAAATAATGACAGTTGATACATGTTGACAACACGTAGTACAAAACTAGAAACGAAACAAGGGCTTTTGTATTAATCTCGTTTAGCCGTAATTGTGGACCTCACTGTGCTATATAATTGATACGCTGTCATATGGCCGAGACCAACGGATGTTAGACTTCAGTGTTCGGCGGAACACCGTGGCGATATTGTTGCACTGGCTGCTAGTTAGGAACAACTAGCTGGCGCTTCGGTCAGACCTTGTCATAAACCTCACATGGCACTTTGCAGTAGGTTTTAAGTGTACAGATATTTCAATACTAGTTCCGAAATTTTCGATTTTTTGCAAATGACGTTGCAAATTTTGTTCAGCAGACAGCGATCGAGAACATGGATTATTGTAAAGGGATAATTAGTGATGACGTGGCATGTTTGTCGTTATTATAGTTGTTGATATAGTTTTTATGTGAAAAAATCGGAAAATTACCGATCCAACGACAAAAGTTAAAATTGCGTTTTTCTTGTATCTCTGCTTCGTTAACAATACAAATGATATTGCTTCAGGAAAATTCCGGATTATGAACTCTGGATTTTTCTGTTGGTAGCTGAGAACAAAACTAGGCGGAACATGCTTACGGAACTAGAGCCATGACGATATCGTTCATTCCAAAATTAAGGTTTTATCTGGGATAATTAAAGTTTATGTTTGTTTGTTTTATCACTAATTTGAGATACACGCGCAGTAGTGAAGACTGGTTTGTTATTCGAAACAGAGATTGAATTTAAATCTCAGATCTCGAGTGGAATAAATGGATGACATTCTAGTTAGACGAGAATCCTGGATAGTAACAGTACTGTGGTATAACTCGATTGCTTTGAGGATGGTTTAATTTTTCTCAAATCAAACTTTGGGTTGAAAGAAGGTTTACGAAATACAGAGAACACAAAGCACAATGGAGCTAAAGAACATTGGTGTGTCCATTGCTTATAACGTAGTTGACACGGTAGAACCTTGTGTTAATACGTGTCTGTCCTTGACCGGGTGTGTCTCCGCTGAAACCTGCCGGAAATACATTGAGGAGTATATTTTCCCGCGCCCTTTGGAATGGGCCTTTATAGCGGTGTATGGAGTTTTGTTTTTGTTTGGTCTAATAGGAAATGCACTTGTATGTTATGTGATATGTCATAGTCATCACATGCAAACTGTTGTCAATATTTTCATCTTTAACCTAGCCGTGGCGGATTTCCTCGTCATATTTTTCTGTTTGCCGACTACCATGTTAGCTGACATAACAGAAACGTGGTATTTCGGTGACATGATGTGTAAAATCATACCCTTTCTACAGGTAAGTCAAAATTATGTACATATATACCTACAGTTATTATATACAGCCATAAAATGGCAAAATATAGTGTATATAAAGATGTAGAAATGTCACTTTTGAATTGCGTAACGAATTGATAAATGATATAAACAATTTAATTGATATTTTACAATTTAGTTCCACGTGCAGCAATTACTCGCTTTGGTTACAGTATAAAATTCAGCGGTTGAGCTAATGAATTTTACTGCTTTCACATCCTGGTTTCATGTTAACGAACGGTTTCAATATGTATTGAATATCATTATCGATAAAATGGTTGGATATTAAAAAAGGATTATATTTACACAAAAAGCGAATTAATGAATGTTTTAACAATAAATAAACATAGGCAACGTGAGCTTTGTCAACAAGTTATAAATCAAATATCAATCGTGACATTACATTCACTGTTACAAGGACTCCAATTCACAGTGTTGAATTTAACCCCGTTCACGCAATACAAAATATTACCACACCCGTACATCGCGATTCCCGTTTAATCACACCGTTAATTTATATCCTGTATCATGTTTAGTCAATATTCCACCAACATGCCAGGGATTTTAAAAATACATGTTACGGCATATATGTTTTTTTCGGTCTAGTTTTTTTCGTTTTTTTTTTTTTAATTTCTAGAACGGTTCGCTTTCAGGTCCCGGTTGTTCAAAATCTGGTAAGAGAACTTTATACATTTGTTGACTCGTTTTGAGGTCAACATATGTTATGTTAAATAAGAGGACTAAACCAGTTTGGTCTGAGGATTTAACATAACAACACACGTTAAACGAAAATCCAGTCTACAGATATTGTGTTACACCTTTTACCGTTGATATCTAAGAAAACAAATTTCAGACTTAATTCGCAATAGAAAAGTATAGATAATAAAGAGTAAAAGTACAACAGCAGTGGTTAGTGAAAAAAAATTAAATATAAATCAAACGAAATTAGAGACAGCCTTAATTGAGACAGACCAGATTGGTACGTTACTTTTGTCATTGATGTCTTGCTTTTTTACGGCAACTATTTCTCTCTAAACACTGGATGATACGATGTACTTGAACCTCAAAACTGTTTTTGATTTTAGCCCACGGAATAGAAAAAATGCCAGATTTGTTAGTCAAAATGTAACTACACGTGATGCAAAATTCTCATTAAATGGGGAATAAAGACACGTTTTTAAAAATACAAAAATAAAGAACATTGTTTTTCTTCTTATTTCACAAGTTTCTTTATCATCTAGACAATACTGGATGTCCGATTCAATACATCTGATCTAGTTATAGATATACATTGATAGTTACATTGTATATATATATATATATATCATTAACGAAACTACAATTCAAATTGTCTAACCAATAATTGATACTAAATAAACTTTAGCAATAACGTTTCTCCTTTAACTGCTGCTAGACTTGTCATCCCTTTATTAGGAGAAACAAAATTTTAAAATCTTGCTGTGAGATATTTTTTTCTGTTGCCACATTTTTTTTGTGACTAGCTGCTATCAACTTATGTTGAGTAACAAACCATCAAACCTTAGCTATGACACCTAGTACTGATAATGTAGATCGAACATCATGGTCCCAAGGTCGGAAAGTTTAGGACTTTTCTTAGTAAGGAACCAGTGTTGCTAAGTTAGCGCTTTATAAAAGCACACTCTAAAGTTTGTGCCTTACGAAAGATAACTTGTTTGAATCCTTGCACAGTTGTGGTCCTGTCTTTGACAAATAGAAGCTGTCGGTCGATGGTCTTAACAGTCATACAGTGAAAAAAATCTATACACGAGGACATATCATAGACAGCACAGTGCCACAGCTCCCAATCATTTGACTTGTACCTGCAAATTACCAGAAATAAGTACCAAGCCCTGAACACTGATATATTACTTTCTAAGGCTATTACATCTTTTAGAATTTTGCTTACATATTGAATGGAAAGCTCCCCCGAACATCCCATTTTAAGGCATCTTTGAGAATAAAGCCTAAGGGGGAGGGTGGTATTTAAATTAATGTACATTGAAACTATGTTACTTAAATCACGAAAGATATATTGGATTAAAGCTGAACTAAGTGATTGGTGAAACTTTCCTTCACAAACATGTAGTTTAATAGTCCGATTGATTTAAGACACACAAAGCGATCAACATTAAGCCAGATTGATAAACTCAGGATTGATGGTACAATCAAGTCTTCCTAACAAACGCCACAATACTGGACGGTTTGACGAAACACAATCATTTGTCACATGATCACTTAAGCAGATCACACCGCGCTCCAATGGGAGGCTCATTCAACTCAAGAAAACCGTTGGAAATGCCAAAGCGGTTTTCTGTTTGAACCGAGGACAGTAAGTAACGGTAACTCTTGGTGGTGAACGGACAAGTTTGCGGCATTTGAAGGCGTCAATAAGTATTGGTTGTTTGTAAATAGCAACTAAGTCACAGGAACACAAATGGAGACTGGTACGTGCGTTCATGTCTATATAATATTATCTAAAGTAAAAAACCTTAATGGTGACGTAAATCCGGAAAATTATTACCTTCGTGCAATTAGTTACGGCGACGCCGGAAGTTACTTTTCAATTCTCATTTTCGAAGCTTTAGCCAAAAGAAAAGAAGCAAAGTTAATTATTGATAATTATCTTTTTTTATTAACACCGCGGTTCCGTGCGGAATGTCGGCAAATATCACGCCAGTCATTATTATTGTAACATTTTTAGCTGAAAGAAATCAAGCATGGTTCGGGTTCCTCGTCACTCAGTATTAATTAAACTAAAAGTCAACCATTACAGAACAAATCATGGTTAAGATGTTTTCTGCATGGGCAGGTTAATCGCAGTTACATGATTGAATTAGTCGAGATGGATTTATTTTTGATTACATGACTGACTTTGAAGGACAGATTTATCATTATAATGTGATTAAATTACTGTCCGATATAATACAATTCCATTGGTGATAGTTACACTAGAGGCATAAACGGTGATATTCCAAAAAATATCAACCTCAATGTCATAATCGTCAGTTGTTATTCTATGGCAATAAAATTAATTGAAGAACAAGGACACTAAAGCATTAGCTGATCAAATAGTCACTCCTGGACAAGTTACTATTTGTTATAATTATTACACTGTACTAAAGCATGAGCTCATTAAATAGTCACCCCTGGACAAGTTACTATTTGTTATAATTATTACACTGTACTAAAGCATGAGCTGATCAAATAGTCACTCCTGGACAAGTTACTATTTGTTATAATTATTACACTGTACTAAAGCATGAGCTGATCAAATAGTCACTCCTGGACAAGTTACTATTTGTTATAATTATTACACTGTACTAAAGCATGAGCTGATCAATTTGTTATAATTATTACACTGTACTAAAGCACTCCTGGACAAGTTACTATTTGTTATAATTATTACGTTGTATGCGTTATTGTATTTGTGCTTAGCGACAGCATCCATATAGTGATTGTACAAAAGACAAAGAAATGAATAGAATTTTTAATCAATTTGGAGTTAAATTCGGTAGTGTCAAATAATTAAGTTGTATCATACAGCTGTTTCGTCCTTAGGACTCGACAATGATGCTTAGGGTCCATGTTTTGAAGTCTAGTGGGCTGAGAGAAATTTTAAGAGATGAAAACGTCAAAATCTACCTTAGTCCCTTGATTCAATAAATTTCTCATTTTCATTTATTTGGTAATATTTAAAGAATGTCAAGTACATGTGTTTATTCGGTACCGTACCGATATTCAAATGAATTAAACTGTGACATGTAGATTACATGACCAGTAATGTCATATTATACATATGTACAAATCGCTCTTACTTATATCACTTCTCTTCATATCATAGTGTATGTGTGTCAAGAGGCGACTAATGTGGAGGTCTGTTACAGGAATGGGATTTACCTTTGTATACTCTGTTGCCATCATTACAAACGTTAGTTTCTTTGTGTTCACTCTGCTTTGTTTAAGACATTCTTCCATGGGGCCATATTTGGTAATGCCCTCGTTTTGGCCTTAGCGTTTTCTTCAAAATCGATCAAAATGGAAAACCGACATCTATACAAATATTTCTACCGGTCTCTGTTTGATTCAGACTTGGAAACTTCGCGTCAGACAGCACTTTATGACGGGGTGGGATGTTTGTATGATATGAATGTGATGGCGATTGGAAATAGTCTCGAGAGTAGACTTATCATCTGTACACTCCGTCCCATTTGTCTGTAATATGGACGTAAAACCACATAAAAACAAGCAAATCGTTACACGAAAAAGGATTAAGGCCCTCTCTTTAATGTTAACATGGACCACTAGAGAACGTACTTTCTCATCGCATTTACCCACAGTCTCCGTTAGCCATATCTGTTTCATCTTAAAAATAGTATCTCTTTTGTAACCGTGATTGATTGATGGTTCCTAATTTAAAAGTTGTTCAATTCAATTCTGTTCAACATTAACCACGGAAGCAATGTGATAATGGACATCTAAATAAGAAGTTCAAAGCGCTAATGAAATTGTAAGTTTGAACAACACTACATGGCAACTTGGTCCTTTGTTTACGTTTGAACATGTTTTCATGCATACATTGAATTAAAAGCTGTAAATTATTTGTAATAATGGCAGGTAATGGTAATATAATCATAGAATTGATAGAAACCTATTTCAGTACTATTTCCCATTACTTACTAACTTAGTATCCAGGAGAACTTACAGTGAATAGGTAAGTCCAGTTATTTATTTACTTTATTTTCCTATTCAATCAAAGGTACCACCTCTTCTGTCGATAAACTCGTATACTAAAAACAAAGTTTATAACCCAATCGGACTATCGAGACAACCCATTTTCGGGAAAATTGTGCTTGTCACTGAAACGTTGAAGATTCTCACTGAGAGCGACTTGAATCAACAAATGAATCATTTTTCTTTAATTTGGTGTATGATTCCCTATATATCATGCCCTAAAACTGTCAC